CTCTGGTAGCCTAGCTCAACCATACATATCACTCTTTGTTTCTAGTGTATGGCTAGCGGGACTTGAAATCACAAGGCGCGAAGCGCCGCCACATCCTAAGTTTGCCGAGGCTGGTGCGGGCCAGTGCCTGGGCGACCATCAGGTCATAGCTGCAATTTTTCATGGCGGCTGGTTCAGGACCAAAAGTCCTGACCACACCCCAAAACCAAGGTTGCCAAGGCTGGCGAGGGCCAGAGCCTGGGCGACCATCAGGTCATGGCTGCAATTTTTCATGGCAGCTGGTTCAGGACCAAAGGTCCTGACCACACCCGAAAAACAAGGTTGCGGAGGCTGGCGAGGGCCAGAGCCTGGGCAAAGCCCCAGCCCCACCGGCGGCTCTCCGGCAAATAAGTTGCCTGGCTCTCCGTCTGCAACACGGGGATCTCTTTTTTCCTTTGGAAAAGGCCATGGCCTTGAGGCTTGAGATATCAGTGGAACTGACTGGCCCCAGGTAACCAGGTTCGGACTCAGGTCTAAGTCTCATGAGTTTATGGGTGTACGAACCTATCTAGTCCCGTCGGTGCCATGGGGACTTCTCTTCGTCCTGGCACTGCTTCCTATTACGAGATACCAGACAGGGTAGCCACGGCGAGAAAGCCAACGCTTTCTTGTCTCGTCCTTTGGGACATCCGTTAAAATTGGAACGGTACAGAGAAGATTAGCATGGCCCCTAAAAAAAAAAATCCAATCTACTTTTTGGAAGTTGTCGGGTTTTGAGAACTCAGGGAAAATGACATTTGAATGTTGGGAAGTGAGGGACCAGAATACTCTGGGACCTCTGTCCCAGCTGGAGGACGTGTCCCATCCTTCGTTATCTGCTAACCTTGCACAGACGAGAGTCTGGGAAAGCTGTGATGATGATGGCCAGTGGTCTTGTCAGGTGTTTGCCCAGGGAACGCCCATCTTGAACCTGCGTCTCGACCCGAAGATGTGGGGGTGGAAGGCCCTAAATCAGGGAGGGGATGATCGCCCTTTATATCAGTACACAGAAGCTCAAGGCTACCAGGCAGGCGAAGGCACTCGCTCCCCGTTGGATGTGGCCACTGCAAGATGGCTACAGGTGCTGGACTGTGATGAGGAATTTATTCGGAGGGCCCTCAAAAAATGTTGGACTCAGCTGGATATAGCCCCAAATCCTGGGCTGGCTGCTAACTTGTGGTTGGTCCAAAGAGGCCTGAGGATAGATATGACATGTTGTCGCTGTAAATGGGCTTTTGAATCTACGTCTCATTTATGGTATGATTGCCCAGCTTCCAAGCGAATCTGGGATTGGTAGCAGGATCATTGGAGGAGAACCTCCAATAATGAACTGGAATGGAACAGGGAATGGGTTTCGTTAGGGGGTCTTCCAGATCGCCTGGACTTGAGGAAAGGTTGGGGCTATATAGCGCAAGTTGCTCGTGCCGTTGGATGCTCAGTAATGTGGAAGGAACGTAATCGGCGGATTTTCCACGAAAGGGAGATGACAAACAAAGAGATTCGTAGTACCTTCAGATGTACTCTCCGTCAGACCATTCAGGCTGACTGGAGAAGGAAGGCCCGGGGGAAACCAACCAAATGGTTTGGCGAAACCTGGGGTCTGGATGGAAAACTAGTTAAGCTTGAAGATGGAAAGCTGAAATTGGATGATTGGTTTTGGGCTAAGTAGAAGAGTGGTACATACCTGGGCACTCGGTTCTCATTCCGCAGGAGGAAGGCAGTTGGTCTGATAAGTGGTGGGAGTGCTGCTTGGTCAAGGTCCAGTACCCACCTGCCGACAGTAGGCGGGTTTACGCACGTTGTAGTGCTACCTTGTAGTTAGTGGTTGGGGCTTAGTTTGACTTAAGGGTTGTAGGGGACTAGGTTGATTGGGTTTAGGCTTGCTGGGTTATTTCTCTTTTCTGTTTCTGCCCTTTCCTTGGTTAGCAGTTGCTCTTTAATTGTTTTTGGGTTGTTTGGTTTTGTTGGTCTGTGACTGTTTTTGTTGGGTGGAGGCTGAGTTTTTCAGGACAGCGGCCTAGGTTTGGCCTCTTCTGTTCCTAGAGTTTTACTCGGCCGTGGCGAGCGCTTGCTCGTAAGCTAAACTGGCTGATGCTGCCAGGATAACTCCGGGTTGAATTGTGAGGTTTCCCCGGCCTCGATTTGACCTTATAATGGAATTTTGAAGCAAAAAAAAAAAAAAAAAAAAAAAAAAATTGTTCTCCGTAGCCTTGCGAAGCATCGCCAGCTGGCGGCCACCCAGCACAAGTTACTACCGTCAATTCCGCTTGCTCGTGCCGGCGGCCAAACCGCCATCATCTGGTATTCAAAAAAAAAAGGTCAAACGATATTCTTTCTTTTTTTTTTTTTTTTTTCAAACGGCATTCTCACATAAGGATTTTCTTTTTTCTTTTTTAACGTGGCATGGCAGGAACCTGACCGAACTGCTGCGTACTCGGAACCACTTGCCATCGCAAAAGATTTTGAATCATCTGGACGAACTCGAGTCCAGGTGCATTCAAAATCCTGGCGGATGCCGAGCGGTGCAACTAGGCCCCAAGTCTAAACCCCTGCTGGTGGGACTCGGTTCGTCATGTCTTGAACCAACTTCCCCCCCCCCCCCCCCCCCCCCCCCCCCCCCCTGCCGTCTTGAACAAACTTTCACACATGACGGGGACAATTTGTTTATAAAATCGTGGCTTCCGTGAGCAACCCCAACAGATTGAAGTGACATTGACATCGTCCATGCGCAGTGGTCTTGCCTGCCTTCGTTCCCTTCGTTCCTCTCATTCGCATAATCGCTGCCTTTGATGACTGCACTGCAACGGTTGTGATTGATCGCAGGCACTGGCTGTTACGGCTGGCACCTGCGGCAGTGTTCCTTAGAAAGCTCGCACGCACGCTCCGCACAGAAGAGAGTCAGGGAAGGAGGGAGAGAGACAGGAGAGGCAAAAGAGTGGGAAGCGTGGTGGCCATGGCCAGGAGGGGAGGAGGAAGCATGTCTGGGCTCAGGATGTTACAGAGCTGCTGCGGCGCCCTGGTGGCAGCAGCGATGGTGTTTGCACTGCTGCTCGGCTATGGCGGACGAGCGGCAGCTTCTGCTGCTGCTCCTTCAACTACTGTAAGCCATCTTCGAGGGGGAAGTTCATCGACGAAGTCGATAGCCGAGCAGGGGCTGCGGACGGCCATGGAAGAGTCGCTGAAGCGTCCGGCCACGCTAGTGCTGCGGGAGGACATCGTGCTGAGCGAGCCCCTCAGTCAGTTCTGGGGCAATCTGACGGTCAGGGGAGCGTGCGCAGGGCGCAAGTGCGCCATCGACGGGGGGCGGAGGTTCTCCATCTTCGACGGGCTGAACAGCGCGCCCGAGTGCGCGCTGGTGCTGGACAACCTGGTTCTGCGGAACGCCAAGGGAAGCGCCGTGACGGGGAAGTGCGACCTCAAGGCGACGAGGTGCGCCTTCCGCAACAACACGGGCGGCTTGGGTGCGGCGGTGAGCCTGTGGCTTGGCCCTGCCAAGTGGGATATCCAGGACTGCGTGTTCGAGGACAACGTCTGCTTGAGTCAGGGGGACCAGAGCGGCGGCGGTGCCATCTTCGCCTGCTCCAACGGCCAGGGAAGAGTGGCGCGCTCCGTCTTCCGGCGGAACCGCGCACCCAACGGCTACGGCGGCGCCATTTGCATCAACGGGCGAGGGGCGGTCCGCGGCCAGGACTCGTACGTCTTCGATCGCGTGACCTTCGATTCCAACAGCGCCAAGCACGACGGAGGGGCCTTCTACATGATGTCCTACTTCGAGAATCCGACCTGGAAGGTCTTCTTCCGGGACAGCACGTTCAAGAWGAACTCCGTCTCGTCCGGCTATGGCGGCGCCCTGGCGCTGTACGGCGTTATGGATGTGCGGCTCTGCCGAAGCGCACTCGCCGGAGGAGGAAACAGTGCTCCGCGAGGGAGAGGCGGCGACATCGCCGTCGTCAGCCCGGATTTCCGACCCTCCGTCGACTTTCAATTCTGCCCCTCCAAGCCGAGGAACCTCTCCCTGTATGTCCCCAAGATCCTGGCCTCCGTGGTGTCCCTGCGCGAAGGTTGCCAAACATGCTAGTGTAGTGTGCTAGCGATGAGGAGGCATCCTCCACAAATTGCACTCCGCCATTAAAATTTTCACGTTTTTTACTTAAACTTTC